CCAGGAGGACAGCGAGGGGCTCTGGTGAGTCTGGACATGACCCGTCTTGCCACGCACACTGGCTAACCCTGTCATTTAGAAGTGAGCGATGAGCCGCACAGTGTGGGGGGGCACAGACGTCCTGGGGCGCTCTCTCTCAGCGGTCTCTCCTGTCCTGGTCCAGGTGGGTGAGGAGCCTGAGCCGCCGGCAGGAGGGCAGGGTTTCCGCCGGCAGCCTGCAGGAGGTCCTGGGCGAGAGCCGGGTGCTCTCAGGCAGACTGGGAGGTGAGCAGGCACGGGCAGACACTGGCACTCTCTTGGCAAACACTGTCCCACTGCGGGCTCTCCCAGCACTCCCAGCCAGAGCTAGGGATGGGGGATTTAGGTTAATTATGTCACCCATGGGTGCCCATATGCCCAGATTCCTAACATTCAGCCCTCTCTTTTATTTTCACACTTTAAAGCTACCTAGAATACTAGTGGCCGTGAAACCATTAGAAGGGTACAATTAAAAGGAGGCTATTTGGCCCCTCTTGCTCCCTTGGTATAACGTGCTACCAACAGGAACACTACCCTTCATTAAATTAAATAGTCTGCCTGCTGATATTCTCACTAACACCTAATCAGACTGAAGCTGGGCCCCTTTTTAACAGTTAAAACACTTTGGGCCCTTTCTAATTTTTTGCTTTGTGTGTTCAGACCCAGGTAACCTAAAAACAAGAAAACTCAGCTCTCCGTAGGCCAGCGCAGGGGCTCTTCCTGTACGGAGCCCAGGACACTCAGAGATAAGCGAACGAGGACTCGTCTTCAGACGTGGAGGTGCTCGGTGGGTATATATCTTGCAAAGTGATGTGACGGCCAGCCAGGCTCCGCAAAGGGGGGGAAGGAGTCTTCCTTCCTGACGCCCATTTTAATTTCTGCCCAAGTGGCCACTGAAAGATGCATTCCTGGACACCACCCATCCTGAGGCTTCCAGTGCCCTCAATGGGATCGCCCGCTCCATCTGCTGCCTTGAGAAACGCCAGCCCCTGACTGCAGGAGGAGATCGCGGGCTCCTCGTGGCTCGAGTCCAGAGGGTCAGAGCAGAGCGGGACAGTTCTCTCTGGGCCGACCGACATGAACAATGAGGGGAGGGGGGGTGGAAGGATTTTGCACGATCAACCACTGAGCCCAGAGGAAATATCTACTAAAGTACCTGATCTCAAGCCGCAACACACTGGTGGGCGCAGAAGGAGTTCTGCCAGTGCAACACTAGCTAGGGTAACTGGCCCCCAGCCACTGGCAGACATCTGGCTGGGACTCTGTCTTCTAACATCAGCATTTTTGGGACCTAAGGTACATTGTTTAAAGAGCAAGCCTTTGGGATCTCCAGTCTTTACAAAAGCATTTTTATTGATTTATAATAAACTCGTGGTGTTTCAGATGCCTGGAGAAGGCAAAAAAAAAAGTCTTGCACCACATTTTTAACTGCATGGGGCTCTGACAGCACTACTTTCAGAGGCTCAGTTATTCTTCACTTGCATACTGTACTGAAGTTTGATCAAAGTAGACGCTGTCTCTACCGGCACTGTGTTATGAGAGCCCCCCGCCACAGTGAAGCTGCAGGGAAAAGCTTCAGGTCTTCTATTTAATACACGAGACACTTTCGCGGCCAGGTCACTATTAGCTGGAGGTTCCCCTGAATGAGGGTAGCAAATTGCTTCTGGAGCAGGGTGACCCCTTTTTTTAAACTGTCCTTAAAGATATTGAATAGATAGAGGAACCAGAATATGTTGCAGACATTTTTAAAATTTTTCTGTAGTTCATGAGGCTTAAGGCTTGTGTGAGTCAGAAACCAGCGTGCTTTCTCTTTACATGTGCTATGAACTCAATATGGTTTATTGAGAAATAATTTTTGTCAAAGCTCACGTCACATTGAGGGACTACAGACACACGGTGCAGCACAGTGTGGTCGAGCTGTTGCCCCAGCAGTCAATAGATATCACGATAGTCAACTTCTTGTTTGCATTCCTGTCTTCTCATCTTCTTCTGAAAACGTTCCCTGTGGGAAAGAGAAACATAATCGATTCATGTAACTAATGCACGATTCGTCTCATGTTTGGACAACAATTACTACTGGAAGATTTAGTGGAAATGAGACTTTCCTTGGTCAAAGAACAAGATATTTTTTTACACAGCAAAATGGAACTTCTGCTTGCACTGTCAGTGTCCTAAGCACAGGGCCTGACCCTGACCTTGGTATCAGAAGGATCTAATCAAGACTGACAAGAGTCCAGAACTCCAGGAGAGTTGACCCTGCAGCCATTTCTGTAAGAATGGAAATGGTTTTGTTTAAATGGAAACTTTCAAAGGCTTCAAAAGTAATTGTTACTTCATTCTCTGCGAGACTGAGGGAACTGACGTGAACCGATGGATCTTGCACATTATGTGGATGCCCTGATGATGTCAAGGAAAGAAAATGAAAAAAATAAATACAGTATTTTCTTAGCCTTTTTCCAGGAGGGGATATAGTATTCGGAACCATAAATTATTAAGAGTTTACATGCCAAAAAATACAAAGCTGTGCCATAAATCAATTGTACAACTTTTAGCCTTTTCTCTTTTTCTTAGACAGAATTGGTATTTTCAGCAATATGCAGTGCACTGAACTCCTGATTCTGTCTGGACCCCAGCTCTTGAAAATTTCAAAAGGCATGATAAAGCATGTAAAGAAACAGCAACAGTTGAAATAAGTATGTTTGAGCTTTGTGAGGACAGAGGTGTGTGTTTGGAACTGTGCGGCACTGGTTCTGCACACTCAAAGTATTTCAGTGAAGAGGAGGAGCCTCTTGCCTTTCAACACTAAATTTGACCTTCCGCAAATTACTGAAAATTGTAAAAGTGTATTTCGGTGAACACTTCACTTAAGTACTGGTGGCCAATGTCACCTGGACAGGTCATAATTGTAGAAAGCAACAATTTATCAATGTTAGTCCTGAATGTCCAACAAGCTCCACTGCCAGAACTGTTTGGAAGATTGAAGTGACTGCAATGTGTGTCCACTGGTGATTCACAGGACTCACGATTTAAAACAAAAGAAGCTGTAAAATTAACAGGCATTTCCCCCAATACATTCATGAAAAGGTCACTAAGTGATTGTGCTTGTAAGAACGCAAAACAATGTGTGAGTCAATACTGTATGTTTTTTTAATTCTTAGAATTATTGTATGAGGAAAAAACTCAATTAAGTTTTGTAACACTTCAGAATGAAAAACTGCATGTACTTTTTTTCATGGGTATGACTGTTCAGATAAGCTTAGGGCTCCTTTTAAAAAGGATTGCTCCAGGAACACGCACAGCACCCATGATGTCTAACACTTAAATATTGATTGGAGAATTATGTGGATTTAAAACATCAAATCAGAGCGCAGTTCGAGGACAGCCTTTGATTCTTTTCTGTTTGAAGTGGAAATTAGAATGCAAATCAGTCAAAACAGCTCTGATTTATTTGTCACGTTTTTTTTCCTGGCAGAGCAAAATAGCTAGTTAGCTGCAGGCATTTGTATTCATGTGCACTAAAAAAAACTGTAATTGCAGTGCTGTGCATATGTTTTAGCTCAAATATTATCTCTTCTTTTACTTCTTTTTTAAGCCTTATGAAATTTCCGCTATTTTTTGCACTGAAATTAACTGCTTAGAAATAGGCTTGAAAGTTCTGTCCTTTGGCGTGGGCACAGCTTGCTGCAGAATATTTTGTTGTAAGAAAATGCATGACTGCAAGATTGCTGAATGATAGCGTAGGTTTGAGGTTAATATCGTAATTATTTCGATTGTTATGTATTTGTACAGCCTCTCTGTTGTATAAAAGGACAAAATAAAGAGTTTGTAAAATAGGTTGGTGTTTTACTCTTTTCTGATAAGACAGCAGGAATGATACATCCTCATGTTCTTATGCCTCGCCTGCATGTATCTTATGCAGAAGACAAAACATTCCCAGGGATTTTGGACGCGACTGTCCAGCTAAGTCTGTCACTATCACAGACCTCCGTTATACGCAATACAAATATTGCTAAATATTATGAAAAATATTTAAATATACAGTGTCATAAGAAAACATGTGCTGTGAGACATTACCCAGCACAAGCACTCTGTTTTATCTGTGGTAATAGTTCCATCCTCTGTCTGAACATCTGCCTGCATCTGTTTCATCCACAGAGAAGAGCACCAGCACTAGATAAAGAGTGGAAGAGTGTTCACTGAATATTGTTAGAGCGATCTGAGTACTGCATATAGTGTAAACGCAGCCATGAGACACAGACTACAAC